GGAGACAGCCTCTTCCCCAGGTGTTGGGGCTAGGGCCATCCCCATTCCAAGCTGCGTCTACCCATCTCCATCCCTGGGCCTGTCCACCCCTGCGGCCGCTGCCACAGGCAAACCTGTGTCCCCTTGTCTCCACTGCTGGGCCTGTATGTCCCTGTCAGGTGCCGCTGGGTCTGTCAGCCTCTGCGGGTCGCCAACGGGCCTGTATGTCTCTGCCGGCTGCCGCCATGGGCCTACCTACCTCTGCTTGTCACTACTGCCGGGCCCATCCACCTCTGTGGGCCGCCATCAGGCCTGTATGTCTCTGATGGCTGCTGCTGGGCCTGTATGTTCCTGTCGTCCGCTGCCACTGGGCTTGTCCACCTCTGTGGGTCGCCGCCACGGACCTACCTACGTCTGCTGTCTCCGCCGCATGGTCTGTCTACCTCTGTGGGCCGCCGCCGGGCCTGTTCACCTCTGTGGGCCGCTGCTAGGCCTGAATGTCTCTGCTGGCTGCCGCTGGGCCTGAATGTTCCTGTCGACTGCAGCCGCCGGGCCTGTCTACCTCTGTGGGCCACTGCCACAGGCCTACCTGCGTCTGCTTGTCTCTGCCATCTTGTTCTGGGACCAGTCAGCTTCAGTTCCAGTCCATTGCTGATGGAAGTCAGGGCAGCACTCAGGACAAGAACCTGGAGACAAGAACTGAAGCAGAGACCGTGGAGGAATGCTGCTTACTGGCTTGTTACATATAGCATTTTCTAACAATATCAATCTCTCTCTCTCTCTATATATATATATATATATGTATGTATATATATATATATATATATATATATATATATATGTAATTTGTATACAATACACAAAAATCCAATCCAATGTAACAATGTAAAGTATTTAAAACTAGTAATTGTTTTTAAGAGTAGATTAAATAATCTTTCTTTTTATCTATATCATATCTATATCTTCTCTTTACTTTTCCAAGTAGATTCAATAATTTACCCTCTATTCTATCATTTGTATGTATCATTTTTCAGACAAGAAACTTAAATCTAATCTCCTTGCTTAGC